TTCCTAAGTGGACATTTTCATGAAAAAATAATCCCTGAGTTTTCATTACAGTCTTGAACAAGAACTTGAAAATAAAATCTGCTTGTTTCTTCCCCTGGCACTCTGTAAAAAGGAATAATAGAAGAAAAAGAGAGCAAATGTGAATTCTCAACACACATTTTTGTGGACAGAGTGGAAACATGTAAAAGCTTTTACAAAAGGTTTTGAGATGTTATGAATTGAGTTGACATTTTCCAAAGTCCTCATAAATCCCACTGGATTATTTTGGGTGGATTTCAGCTCTAAGCCCCAAAAACCAGAGTTACCAAGTGGGAGCAATGTGGTTTTGCTCCCAGGTATCTCCCGAGGCTCTCAGGACTCCCTCCAGCTGCTGAGGGAGCAGAGCCTGCTGGGATCCCTCTTTTGTGTTCTCCTGGGATGAAAAGTGTGGTTTTGCTCTGGGAGGAAAATAGCTTTGGTTTGGCTGGAGGGGCTGAACTCTCCTGGTGGACATGAGCGCTTCTCCTTGACTTCGGTGCTGCTTTGGGCTGGGAGGGACAGGCTCAGGTCCCGTGCTGCCTCTTGCCCTGCTCCCCTGAGGACAAGGAGCAGCCACGGAGCAGCAGGAGGAGAGGAACCTGGAAGGAGCTTGCCTGCTGCCCTCCTGGTGTCCGTGGCCAAAACCAAGCTGGCTGCTCTCAGAGGGCCTCAGTGCAGGTACTGTCCTAGGGGTGCCAGGGCTGGTGCCTTTCTCGAGGTGGGATTGTGCTGGTGCAGTGGCTGTCTGGTGTCCTTGCTGTGCTTTGGGCTCTGGCTGTGCTGCCAGTGCTGGTGTGAAGGACGAGGGCACCAGGCAGTGACCAAGCTGTGTCTTTGTCAAGAGGTGCTTTTTGCTTTGCTGAGCACTGAAATGTGGACAGTCTCGCTCAGTTCCACCCTGCTCTGCCCGTGGGGTTCTTGCCAAAGCCCCCTTTGCCCCTGCCCCCCTAAGGTCACAGCAGTAGCACAGCCTGTGCCTGGTGCTCAGGGGTTTCCAAAGCTCCCATGGGTGGCTGCTGCCACTTGTACAGAGGGAGAAGCTGAAGCACAGAGCAGGCAAGTAATGGCATAAATCTTAAAAGCAGGTTTGTATGGAAACTTGCTGGGTCTGAGAACTTTTTATGAACCCTCTGTTCAGCTCTCTGACCTCCTCCTCAGCTGCTGACAGGGTTGTGATAGCCCAAAAAGCAGGAATTCCTCATTGGCTACAAGAGTCCAGCCCAAAGAGTCAGTGAGGTATTGCCCACCTTGCCCTTAGACCTGCTTAGGGCCCACTGTGTCTCTGTGACCCACCTGTGAGGGGGAAACTGAGGCACAAAATCCCAGGGTTTGCAAACCCCCCGCTTGTGCAGGCAGGAGAACATTGCTGGAAGCTGCAGCACTTCTGGAGAAAGATGCTGGTGGCAGAGCAGATCCTTCTCCTGTTTGGCATAGCTGGCACTGAAGGACTTTGTGGGGTTTCTCCTCCCATTTGGCACCACAAGGGCAGCACCTTCCCAAGGCTTTGCCTCCTTTCTGTCCCACTGGATTCTCTGGACACCTGGAACTGTTGTCTCTTCTCTCCCAAATTCAGTACAAAGCTGCTTTTTATGCTGCCTGAAATCCGTGGCACAGGAGAATTTCCACCCTGCTAGGATCACTAACCTTCCTGCCTTTCCAGTATTTGCAGCTAGTGATAATTTCTTTGTTGTTTTGGTGATTGGTTTGTTTTTTCAACTATTATTTATTCAGGGAGGCTCTGGGACTGCCACCTGGTCAATGGGCAGAGCCTTCCCTCACCTCAGCAGGGCTCTGAGAGCACCAGCTCAGGCCAGCATGGAAATCACATGAATGGAAGCCCCTCGCAGGGCACCATTTGGGTTTGGGGGTTTTGTTTTCACCAACAGGACCGGACTGCTGGGGTACATTCCTTGAGCTCTATTGCAGCATCAGCCTCACTACATGGCTGAGGCAACAGAGAGATGGCAAAGCTCACATACAGCCAGCAGCAGCCAAATGTTTCTTTGTTACAGAGCATTTAAAAACTTTCTAGCCAATAGCACATTGCTAAAGCTTACAGACAGTTGTTTTAACCAATTACTACAAGCACACGTACACCTGCTTCACACAATGCTGGCTTGTCTTCTTTCTATTAACAATACACAACACACCTTTAGTAAGCTTAAAACCTTCTACTATCTTACATATTTTTCTGCAGTCTTAAGATCTCTCTTAACTAAACCTATAACTCAAGTTGTTGCTTCATGTCCTTACTTGCTGCATTATTGTAATTTTTTTCTACCTTCAGACTTTGTAGCTACAACTAGCTCTTAGTTCTCTGTTCTTTCTGTTCCTAAGGCCTGCTTTCCCAACTTTCTAAAAATCTTACCTTTACTATTTCCCACAGGTGCTCCTTGTTAGTGCCTTGCAGCTGTTAAACTTCACCTGTCCCCACTCTGGGGCAAGGAGCAGAGAGGTTTCCCACAGCATCATGAACAGGAAGAGGGCTCAGGGCTGGCACAACACAGCACAGCACAGCTTCTCCTGCCCAGGAACAGGGAGCTGTGGGGTTTGGGATTGACTGGTGCAGTCCCACCGTGATGCCCAAGTAGGTCAAGCACAGGTGTCCTGGAAGTGCCAGGAATTCACCTGTGGAAGGCAAAGGAGGAGCTGCTGTGCTGGGCTGAGCATGGGCTCCCTGCCCACCGCTCAGCAGGGCTGAAGTGCCTCTGGGGGTCTTTTCTCCAGCCCCAAAGGGAGATCATTCACGTGTTCAGGAGGCACCAGGCATCAGGAATGCCCAGAGGCACCAGGAACAGGCAATCCAGCCTGCCCTGGGACCTTGGGCAGAGTTAGCAAGAGTTAGCAGGGTTGCTGTGCCACGAGGTTGTGCTGTGGGCAATCCTTTCAGGCTGCCCCCAGTGCGGTAGGGAGGGTTTCCAGCCATGAAGGGGAAATGAATTCCTGCTGTATGGAGATTCATTTGCTGTCTCAGCCACCAACTGGGTGACAAAGCAGTTGAGGACGCAGCAGTGCAGCTGTTAATGTGTTTATTGGGATGAATATTACACATCATTCTCGGAGTGGTTCCATTTCTTTGCAGAAGGCACAAACCACAGCAGCAGGATTTAGGAATATGGACAAGCCTGTGTTTCCATAAAGCCATGCTTGATGGCAGGACATGATGAAGGTGTCCATCACATGAACACCCAGTGTTAAAGGCTTGCTTAAATCTGCCCTGTGATCCTGTGGAACTCCTCATGTTCTTCCAGGCTCAGCTTCCCACTTCCTTCTCCATTCCCAGTCTGCAGACTTCTCATTGCTGACCAGGTTTCTCCTTACAGATTTATTATCTGCATTTCTTGTTCTGTGGAATTGGACCACTCTGTGTCCCTGTTACCTGAATTCCCCAATCCCCATTCTGACCCTGCTGTAGTTGTGCTCTGTGCCCCATTTCCTTCTCCTGGACTCTCTGCTCAGGTGTTTCCAGTTCCCTCCCTTTCTTCCTCATGTTGTGCAGATTCTGATCCAATCCTGTGTTGTGCCACCCCCAAAGGCTCCTCCTGCTCTCCCTTTGGGGTGCCCATGTTCTCCCTGCTCCCATCAGGTGAGGGGGCCCAGAGGGGACATTGCAGGAGTGGGGGATGCTCCCTGTTACCTCTCCAAGGTTTTGCTCCCTAGGGAAGGGAGGTGTTAGCACTGCTGTTGGAAAGGGAGAAATTTGGTGCTATTTTCGAACCTTCAAGGCAAATCCTGCTTCAGGTGCATTGTTTGGATGACAAGGCAGACAAGGACGTGCCTGGATGCAAACTGGAATCCAGTGGATGTTTTCCATATCCCAAGAGATGTGATGGGTTTTCAGTGAGGCTTTGCTGGAGAACACTGTTGTACTGCCTGGATCTGCTGGGCAATATTTCTGTGGCTCCACAGTTAAGTTTTTATGGAGGCCTCGTTCTGTTTAATGTAGCTGTAGTTGGGTTATAAATTAATAATTCCTGCTGCTGGGACTGCTGTGTAGCAAGATGGCTTGTGTGTAAATAATTAATGCCATTAAATTCGTTGTGTTCCCTGTCTACAGCTCATTTACCTGCTGTGACTACAAATATTCCTCTGCCCGTTGGAGAAGGTGCTGGGAGATGCCAGGCGTGAGAGGTCTGTCAGGAAAGGCTCCTGCCCTGGTTAAATGGATCAGAAACTCCTGGGACAGGGAGTGCCAGCACAGTCTGGTTTGTAAACATGACAGGCTGAGGATTTCACCTTGGGTTTGGAGGCTGGGGAGGCCCAGGCTGTGGGAGATGGGCTTCCCTGGCACATCCATCCTGGGCAGCAGGAGGAGTTCCTTCATGGAAGGGGCTGCCCAGGGAGGTGTGGAGCCCCCATCCCTGGAGGTGGCACTCAGAGCTCTGGGCTGGGGACAAGGTGGGGATCACAGCTTGGGACTCAGTGATTCAGGAGGGCTTTTCCAACCTCAGTGATCCAGTGATCACAGCTCTGCCTCCTTCCCAAGCTCTTCCTCTTTGCTTGTAGCTCTTCTAGAATTATTTCAGTGCTTGTCCCTACCAGTAAACCAGGAACAATTGGAATTCTTCCCTGCTTCACATGCAAATTCCATGGGGTTTCCAATGTATTTTTTAATTTAAATTCTCCCATGTTTCCTTGGAAAGCAGCTCTCCAGAAGCAGTAAAGAATCCTTTCCAGCCTCAGGCACCACCACTCTGTGCTGCAGTGAACAGCGTAAGGTAATCACATAAGTCCTGCACAAATAAAGGTAAAAAGAGTACAAAATAAAATTTTAAAAAATCTTATTGTGTCCAAAAGATGTTTTCCTGAGTTCTAATGCACAGTCTCTAAAATGTTTTCATAGTTGCAGAAATTTGTGGGAAGCTGATGTTTCCAAGAGCTTTGATGCTGCTTTATTACTCCTGTATTAGGAGATTATTTCAGACCACACTGGTAATGCTTTTCTGTTGTGCTGTTGTCAATTCTCGTTTGTTTTCCCTCAGCCTTGCTGCTGCTCTCTTCTGCATGTGATGATCCAGGGCAACACTTGAGGGAATCCAGGGAAGACTGTGCTGGAATAACTTCCATCTTCTCCTCACACACCAGAAACCTGATCCTCTGACAGTAAGTAATATTTATGTGCTTTTATGCATCATACATAACCTGTAAAATTGTGTTATTGTCAAGTTACCATCATACATTATCTAGAAGCAACTTTAAAAGGTTGGTTTAGCTTTATATATAAATATTGATGAGAAATCTGAAGCATGTTTTTCTGCAGAAAATACTTATATCAGACACAAAATTTATCTGGAAAAGATGTTATCCCTTATGTTCCTGCTGAAGTCTACTTAGGAGACAGCCTGAGCCAGGCTGTGTCTGTATAAATAACAAAGACTATTAATTTGGGACCAATTTATTCACTGAAAAGGCTTCTGAAGAAACACATCAGCATATTGGAAATCACTACAAAGGATTTGGGTGATGTTTATTGAGGCTGAAGACAAATATTTGGGGTGGAAGGAAACAAGGAAGAAGTCCTGTAGTTGCAGGAGCTGAACAAAATGTGGCAGGGGCTTGTTGACTTCGAAACAACTGCGAGTTCTTAAAGTTTTTTATGAGGGAAGTTCCACTGCTCTTTGTTTTGGTTAAAAAACAGGTTTCTGTTTATCTGAGGAAAAGATTTTTAAATAGTGAAGGAATGAGTGACATTGGGATTCAAAGTTTGGCACTTGATCTGTTTGCTGTGGTTAAGCTTTATGCTGGGATTCACAGGTGATGGCCAGCAAGTGTCCAGCACCCCTGGCCAATGCTCCAGACAAACTGGAAAAGTGACCACTGCAGGTGACACCTCTTGTGGGGGCTGAGCTGGGAGGAGGCAAAGGAGTTACACTTAAACAGGAAAATGGGCTTTAATAGCTCCTTTTAAAGCTGCTGCAAACGGGCTGGGAATGGTTTATTGCAAGCCTGCAGGGGTGACCTCTCAGCCTGCCCTGCTCTGAGGGCTTTGCTGCCCTGCCTGGGTTTGGTGTGGGGGTTTGGAGGCTCCCCCAGGCCAGCCCAGCACTCTGCGTGATGCTGTTTGCACAGAGCATGGGGCATAATGGAACATGAAGTATTGTGCTCTTCCCTAACCTATTTACAGGACTTCATTACCATTGAATTTTACTGAGCATGTCAGGAGTGGAGAGGGAAATATAATCTAATAGGAAGGAATGTACCTCTCTGGAGCAGGGAAGCTGTGAGATAAAAAATGGGGTTTAGACAGGCAAATGAACTGATGCACTGGGGAAGGAACTGATCACACTCTTATTCTTCCCCCAAAAACAGGTTTAAATTCTTCCCACAACTTACTGTTGTGGCAATGTTCAAGTGTCCCAACCAGTATATTTTGTAAGGATTGAAAGGAATAACAAAGCCAAAGGTGATGGAAATAACTGGATGATACAGTGGACAGCAGTCAGCTGGGACTGGGATGTCTATAACCCTAAAATGCATTGATCAAATGCATGACTGTATCTCACTATCCCAGATTGTTTGCCTTGAAATGGAAGCAATTTAATCTTTAAAAAAAATAATGAAAGAGCAAACTGTAAATGAGACCTTCTGGCAGCAGGACAGGCTGTGGTCCCAGAGGCAGCAGCACAGGCCAGGATGACAAATGAGGTCATTAAAGTAAATAGTGTAAATTGAGTTTTGGCAGTGGGAAGGAATCCTTATTATGATGAAGGGCATTAATATGGGAAGAAGAAAAGGGGGAGGAGGAACTCACTGGTGACAGGCTTATCTGGGGCAGGGAGCAGTGTAATCCTGTGGCTACTCCTGCTGCTTCCCTCATTGCAAGGCAAGGAGTCCATTTAATTTCACAGGGTTTTCAGCAGGACAATGGTTTCCAAGTGCATTAAAGGTTATAAAGTGTCACCCCTTCAAACAGCATCCAGGAAGCTGCTGAACCAAAGCCTGGGATCCTTTACTCACTGGGTCTCATCTTTGACATCACATTTGCAGCACACTTCTGCTTTACCTGCTGATTTTTCATTTTTAAAGAGTTTCTTAATACGAGTGTTCAAAACCCTAGCACTTGGTTTCCTCTGGATAAAGGTGTTAAAGGCTGACCAGCCAGGGAATTCTGGCCTCTAAATCTGGGCTTCCTTAGGTGCTGGTGACAGCCAAGTTGATTATCCTGCTCGGATTAGCAGGGAGTTGTGACAGTCCTTAAGGTCACAGGGACTTCTTAAAGTTGTTGGGCTTTTTGAAGTCAGTGGGAATCAGTGGCTAACTCAGAATCCTCTGTGCAAAGTCTTGGGGTTGTTTTTGTCTGCACTGATTCTGAAATAAATCCTTGCTCCTGTAAGAGCAGATGGAACTGCCAAGTTTGGGCATTGCCCTGAGAATCTTGAGCCCCGAGTGTCACTGTCCTCTGGCCTTTTTGTGGCCACTCTAATTGCACTAGTGACACACTGTGTAAAGGCACCTTACAGGATGTTAATAACTAGGTAAGAGTTCATATGGTCCCATTAGTACACTAGAGTTCTGTGGTTTTGTTCTCCTAGGTTCAGTTCCTGTGCTCATCCTATTGTGAGGATGAATCACTTGTGAAAAGCAGTTTGAATTAATGAAAAACAGATTTTGGCTTAAACAGGATTGTCTTTGAGGTCCCTTCCAACCCAGTTTGTGCCTAGGGCCAGGTTTCCCTACACCCTCCTGAGCTCTCAAAGAGGGCTCTGAGGCATTCAAAGGCATGGAAATGCACTTTTCCTGTTTAGCTTGCAAAGGCAGATTTATCTCTAAGAGTAGCTCTTATTCTTTCACAACATGCCTTGAAAAAAAAAAAATGAAAGCCCAACCAAAACCAAACAGAAATTTCCTCCTTTTGCCTTGGAAATGGTGTTTTTTGTTGAGCCCAGCATGGTGTGGTAATAGAGATTTGCTCGGGCTGTTGAAAGGAACGAGCTCCGAAGCTGCTGGGAATGGCACTGAGCCGTGGGAGGAGGAAGGGGAAGCTGAGGGACAGCTCAGGGTGTTTGCATTAACAAACACTGCTGGGGCTGCCGCTGAGAAGTTGAAAAGGTGCATTTCACACCAGCATCTCTGTGAGTGCAGCGGGATGAAGGAACGCTTCATCATTCAACACAGGGTTTTGTGGCACACAATTGGAAGAATTGCTGCAGAATGGATGGGGATGAGCAGGGAAATGGGATGTGAGGGAGCTCAAGCAGCATTTGAATTCATGACAGTCCAGACAGAGAGGAGAAAGCTGCTCAGGGAGTTTTGCAAGACCTCTAAAATCAGTGTGCACGTAAAGGCATGGAAGGATTGTTGTGCCAGGCTGGAGATCAGGGCAAGGTTCTTTCCCCAGGGGGTGCTGGCACTGCCCAGGCTCCCCAGGGAATGGGCACGGCCCCGAGGCTGCCAGGGATGCCCAGGGTGGGATTGTTGGGGGTCTGGGCTGGATCGATGGTCCCTGTGGGTCCCTCCAGCTCAGGACATTCCATGGGGGTGTGATGGGATCTTTCCAGCCCCCTCTGGCATTTGGGATTGTGTCGTTCCCAGCTGCTTTCCTTGGCTTTGCCCCCCAGGCACCGCCTGTGTGTTCCTGGCCTGGCGAGCCCTGGGGCACTCCCAGGTTTGGGGAACGCTCCACCAAACTGCTTCAGCCCCTGCCCCTGGGATTTCCTGTGGAACGCTGATACCAGGCACGGACAGCCTGCTCTGTCAGAGCCCAGGGAAGCATGAAACAGGAGAGTTGGAGGTTGAGGGTTAATTTGCTCAGGTTTTGCCTCTAATTGCTGCAGAGTGAGAGTCTGCTTTGCTTTTCTGGGGGTGGTTGAATCCAACCAGAACTCAAATCAGAGTGCGATAAATGTTTCTTGAAAATGGGAGTAGGAGAAAAGTGCTGATTCCTCCGGCTCTGGGAAAAGGCACCTAAGGAAAGTTTATGGTGAGGACTCAGCAGTTGCTGAGGGAAACCCCTGCCTCGAGAAGATGAGATGGGCTTTTTGTTACACTGGGTTGAGGAGTCCCAGCCACAGGTCCTGACACTGGGAAAAGATTGTGTGGCATGTTTTGTGTGAAATCTGTGTGGCTTTGTAACAGAAAGTGTTTGTGGTGTTTTGATGGTCAGAGCTTTTCTCTAATGAGAAGAAGCAGGAAGCTGAGCAGAAATGAAAACTCTGTCCTCAGTTGTGTGCCCTGGGTCAGGAGAAATTCAAGGATTCACTTAATGCTGTTGTTATTAGTTAGAACATCTATATGCTGGGAAAACACTCCTAGAGTATTAATAAAATGACTATAATTTTTTTTTTTTGCCAAGAAATATTCAAAACCTTTTAAGTAAATACTGGAGAAAAGCATTTATTGGAAGAAGAAGGAGAAAAAAAGGATTGATTCTGAAAAATGGGATTTCAAACACTTCCCTCACTCATGGAGAAACCTGGAGCTGTGCTTCATCAGTAGAAAACCAAAAATGTGGCTCCAGTGCCACAAATCCCTAAACAAATGTGGCTTGAATAATAGATTGACTTGCTTAGGAGAGCTTTTCCCTAAGCAAACTTAGGGATCAATAACTAATTATTTGCAGGAATAGCCTTGCGAATTTCCCATCATAAATAGATCCAGGAAAATTCTCAGTTGCTTCAATCCATTTGTGACCAAAAGAAGTAAAAGTAATTATTCTCTTAGCTCACATACTGATTTATCCTTGGTTTTTTCTCTGCTCGTTTTTGATGGAACAGCTGTACTTAACCCATGCCCTTGTTTATGCTGGGAAAAACAGATCCTTTAACTGCAAACACATCACTTGAAAAGATGAGCCAGTTCCTCAGCTGCAGGTTCCCAGTGTAGGTTCCATTGCTTTTTAGAAGCTGAGTGCCCTGGGTAAGGGTTTGTATGAATGAGCTCCTGTGGGGTGGGGGTCTCTGCTCCGAGCAGGCCTCTGCACCTGGCTGACCTTTGCCTGCTGTGGAAGCCTGTCCTGCCACAGGGCTGCTGCTGTGGGTGCTTTCCCTCTGCCTGGCTGCTGTTTCCATGACCTTGCAGAGCTTCCTTACCCCTGGGGTTTCTCTCCTCCAAAGTGATGCCCTCCCATGAGCTCCTGGCTCTGCTCGAGGTGTGGCCTTGGTACAGGGGAGTGCCCTGAAGCTTAAAGCTTGTGACCACCAGTGTTGTAGGTGTGTTCTTCCTTGCAGAGGACAGAATCTGTCTCAGATATTTATAGGTGTTTTTATTTGTTCTTTCCCCAGATATAAATCTGCTCACAGGGGCCAGGCAGATCATGTGTCCTGATGGGTCTCTGTCTCTGCAGCTGTGCTGCTGCTTATCTTATCTTGATAAAACCCCTCCAGAACATCTCTTTCCAACTCGATGAGTTGCTGTGCAATATCTTCAGTATTTGCTGTTGCTGTTGTACTGGAAGCTGGCCTGTGGAAATTCCTGTCTGTGGAAAATGGAGATGTAGGAGCATGAATGGGATGAACCATCACCCGCCTCACCTGGAGCTGCTCTGATCAGCCCGAGGCTGGCAAGGAGCTGCTGCTCCTGCCTCGTGTACAGAGCCTGTCCTGGGCATCTCTGCTCTTCATTCAGTGCTTTGCAGTGCCTGCTCAGCCTTTCATTTCTCCAGTGTCAGCCTCTGGCTCCATCCCATAACAGTTCCTGGGGCTCAGTCTCCTGTCAGGCACTTTCTCTCCACAGTATTTTATTTTGCTCATTGACAGCAGCAGCTTTCTCTGGAGAAGCAAAATCCCTCCTTCCCTCCCCCTTCTCCCCTGGGCTCCTGTTAAATAACCTTGTGCACAGCCAAGCCAGAAATGCTCTGGGAGAAAAAACAGGCTGAAAGCCCCAGTGCTGCCTGGGCACTAACCCAGGAGCAAATCCAGCAGGAATCCATTGCTGAGGATGATGAGGGACTGGACCATGAGGACAGACTTGGAGGGTGGCAGAGCCACAGAGCAGCTGCCCAGGATGCTGTGGGGTCTCCTTCTCTGGAGATGTCCAAACCCCACCCAGGCTCCTTGCTGTGCCATGGTGACCCTGCTGCAGCACAGGTTCCTTCCCTCCCACCCTGAGTTTTGGGTTCTCCATGGTGACAGAACCTTTGTACTCCTGTGCCAGGCTGGAGCAGAGAGTCCTGGCCTGTGGTGCCAAAGGGGGATCTAAGCTCTGAGCAGGGAGCCATCCTCAGGGGTGTGAGTTTCTGTGCAAAGGGAAAGGAGGGGACGAGGCAGATGCTCTGTGGGATGCAGGGGCTGCAGAGGGCTCAGGCCCCCACCCTGTCCCCTCAGCTCTGAGCTGCCGCAGCCCCTGGTGCTCTCCAGAGGCTCCAGTCTGTGATCCTGGCATTGTTTTGCCAGCTGGGCTCTGCTGTGGCCTCTGTTCAGCCCCAAGGATTGAGGCAGCTCAATGTCACTGCAGAAGGAGCTGAAATTGTTCCCAACTTGCCTGATCCCATTGCTGGTTGGTGTTGGATCTGTTTTGGCTGCCTCCAAAGCACTGCCTGCAGTCAGCTCAGGAGGACTCTCTGTCTTGTTTCAGCTTTGTTTGATCAGGGGTACTTGGGTGAAAATTAGTCCAGATTAACTAATGGCAAGGATTGAAGGGTGAAAATTAGTCCAGATTAACTAATGGCAAGGATTGAAGGGTGAAAATTAGTCCAGATTAACTAATGGCAAGGATTGAACGTGGATCACTTCACCTACACTGGCTTGGCTGCTCTTGGTCAGAACAAAAGTGGCCTTTAATTATTTACTTCAGAGCTAAAATAAATTAAAAAATTACTTCTAGCTGTATCCACACAAGGTTTAATCCAGTTTATCTACGCAAATCTTACTCAGATGAGCTGCCTTGGTCATCTCCCTGTCAGCAAGTTTTCTGAAAGCAAGGATATTCCAGAGAAGGGGAGAACTTGGTCCATGGATCCTCAGTGTGTGTGCCACACACATTTCCCTGGGGAAGCCTATGGAGTGTGACAGCTTTTGCCATCCATGGCAGGAGTCAAAGTGGTCCTTTTAAGACATCTGTTTAGCCCCTTAAGTCCTGGAGCCCCCCATCCCTGTCCCCTGTCTTGGTTTCTTTATCCAAGACCTCTCAGTGGTGGATAAGCACCAATTTCCTTGTCTAGAAGAGCTGGAGAAGGGAAAAAACCAACCCCAATTTGTATAAGTATAGGGAAAAGCGAGCACTGCTAATATTAGTGTTGCTTTTGTATTAATAATTCTCTGATAAATGCCTGGGTTTTTTTCTTTGCCAGTCTAAAAATACTCCCCCAGCTTGGCAGCTTGTTGTGACTGTGATAATGAAAGTGCAGCAGCATGTGCCTGCCACAGCTCCTGCCCTTTCCTCCTGGGCTGGCAGAGCTCTGGGGTTGTCTGAGGGAAGAGAGGGCACACATACTGAGATGAAGGAAAGCTGGTCCTGACTCCTGCCTTCCAAAAGGCCACAGCCTGGGAATTATCTCAATTTCAGAGGAACCCGGTGTGTTATGGAAATGTCACGTCCCTGAGCCAGTGAGAGAGGTGGAGTACAAAACCAAAACAAGAATGCCACCAAATTTAAACAGAAGCAGCTCCTTTTGAACTGATTGAAGTTAAATATACATTTTTAAAATTTTTTTTAATCTCCAAGATTATGGAACTCCTTGCTAGAAGTACTTTTGGAGCCAAAGGGACTCTGCTTGTGTTTAGGTGACGAACGTGTGGTTTGGCAGTGCCCTTGGCTGGGAGAGGGCCCTGTTGTTGTTACAGTTTAATTGTTGTTATTGGTGCTGTACTGTACCTGTGCACCACAACTTTCATTCTGACACAACATTCAAAGCAGAAGCTGCAGCACGAGGTTGACTGAGTGCCTGCCCAGATGCTGGAGATTATCCTTGTGCTGGCTTATGGCTTGTGCCCACACAGGATGTTTGGGGTGCAGCTCTGCCAGCTGAGCCTGGGCTGGGTTTGGGGTGAGCTCCTGCTGGGAGGTGTGGGAAATGGATTTGTAGGGAGTTCTTAAAGCTTGACAGAAGGCTCATATAGCATGCATCTGTACTGGGTATTGTATTGTGTCACCCTTCACATAAGACTGAAAATAGAATAAAAGTTTTTAAATGCCTCTCAGCTGCCCCCATCTCTAGATCAGAAAGGAGGATAACCCAACAGGAGGCAGCTCCTTGCTGGGAGCTCCAGCTGGTGCCAGGAGGACTCTGCTCTGCACTGGGGTGTCATTCCCTCCCTCCCAGGCTGAGTTTTGGGTTCTCCATGGTGACAGAACCTTTGTACTCCTGTGCCAGGCTGGAGCAGAGAGTCCTGGCCTGTGGTGCCAAAGGGGGATCTAAGCTCTGAGCAGGGAGCCATCCTCAGGTTCATTTTAGGAACCCCTCTGTCGTTTCTGTGCAAAGGGAAAGGAGGGGACGAGGCAGATGCTCTGTGGGATGCAGGGGCTGCAGAGGGCTCAGGGCTGGCCCCCACCCCGTCCCCTCAGCTCTGAGCTGCAGCAGCCCCTGGCTGCACCCTGCAGAAGGGGCCAGCTGCATCCCCAGTGCAGGCTGGAGCCAGCACTGCTTCCTGAGGCAGCCCCTGGCACTGGGAGAGGAGCCAGGGAAGGGGAAGGATGGATCCACAGGGGTGCCAGCCCCAGCCCCTGCAGAGATGCCTCTGAGGAGCTGTGTCTGTCCCTGGGGCTGCCTGAGCTGCTCTCCCTTAGCTGGGGCTGTTGTGGTGCTGAGCTGGACTGGGGTGGGTGGTGTGGATTGGGGTGCATTGGGGCAGCTCCCCTCCTCTCTCTTCCTTCCCTGTTTCAAGAAATGAGGCAGTTCTGTTTTATAAAGCTGCTGTCTCATGGCAGCCAGGGTGCTGATGGTCCTGTTGGCACCCGGGGTATCTGAGCCTCCAGCAGCCTCCTGGTGGGAAATGGGAGTGGAAATGCCCTCCCAGAAATGATCCACAGATCTTGAACCCACTCTGTGTCCTCAGAGGCTGTGGAGAATCACTTTGTGTGGCAGCTGAAGGATTTATTGCTGCTTGCAGAGGCCTTGGGAGACATGTCCTTATCTTGCATGTTTTCCTTGAGGTTTCAGTCTTGGATTGATGACTGAAAGGAAGAATTGCATTTATTTCCCCTCCAGCTCAGGAGGCTGCTCAGGACAAGAGCAGCCCAGAGAGGGGTGGCTGAGGGACTGGGGGGATTTGCTGTGGCCACAGCAGCCAGGCCAAAGGAAGTTTGAAAGGGCACAGGAAGAGGTCAGCTGTTCCCTGTGTGCCTCCTGCCTCTTTCCACAAGGACACAGAGCTGCCTTCCAGGGTTTGGATCCTGGGAAGTGTCCCCAGTGGATGTTCCTCTGCAGGAAACATCCACCACTGACCTTGTCCTTGACAGAGCAGGGCAGGAGGAGTGGGACCAGCAGGGCAGTAACAGCTTTTTTCTCTCAGGTAGGGCAGAAACACTCAGGAATTGACTCTGGGGATGGTCCCAGCACAGTCAGGGCTGGTTGGTGGCCTTGGGCCCCGTGACTCCTGTTCAGAGTTTTGGGGCTCAGTAATTTGGCTTTTCCCCACTGTTTGAGGGGTGTCCAGTGGCACATGGGTGGTTTCCAGGAACATCCCAGGAATTCCTCTGCAGAAAGGGGAATGTTGCCTCACCCCCTGACTATGGCTCAGGGAAAACACTTAGAGGAGTGTTTAAAATGGGAGATGTTTTTTACACAGTGGAGGAAATTCACAGGATTTGAATGGATAGAAAAAGAACCTCTTCAGACTTAATTGCTTTGACATTTCTATTCCTCAAGTGCAGAGTGCCCTCCTGAGCTCAGGATGCTTCAGTGGGAGTCCTGGGAGTGTCCTAAAGCAAACCTGCAGGATGTGAAAGACTGAGCAGAGGTCTGTCCCAGCTCCTGGAAGTGCTCCATCCTACTCTGCTGCCTGCTGAAATGGAGAGAATAAATCAGATTTGTATGTTCAGCTAGTGATTGGGTGCTTAATTACCTCTGAAGGTACTGACTTGGTTGCTGGTGTCACCTGAACCTGGGAGTTGGGCTTTGAGGGCTGAGGAGCCTGGGAAGGGTCTGCAGTGGGACCTGCTCCCCACCACTGTGCAAGAATAACCAGGAGAGAATAAATCTGGAGTCTGCAGCCAGGAAAATGGGCTCAGTCCCTTGTGGCAGGGTCCCCTGGGGCCACTGATGTCTGTGGGGTCCCACTGTCACATCCCAGGTACTGCTTGACTCCCTAAACTCACTGAGCTCAGCCTCTGGTTTTCCTTCAGTAAAATGGGGGTGAAACCTGCTTCCCAAGGCCTGGGAATTGGAAACTGGAGTGTTTTGAAATCCATCTTCATGGAGTCCCAGAATGGTTTGGGTTGGAAAGGGATATCAAAGCTCATCCAGTTCCACCCCCTGCCATGGGCAGGGACACCTTCCACTATCCCAGGCTGCTCCAAGCCCTGTCCATCCTGCAATCATCCATTCCCCAATCCTTTAGGGAATGGTGTTTCACAGACAAATTTGTGTCCCTCTCATGAGCTGGGAATTTCTATGAAGGTGCTGCTGGCCCAGGTTCACACTGCAGGACCCCTTCTCCTCATGAATGAGGGATGCTGTGAGCAGGGTTTTACTGTTAGTCAGTCATTAGCCTGTGGTAATGAAGCCCTGATGGGGGAAAGGCCTCCAGAGGTGAGGATGGATCATCTCTAAGGCACTGCCCAGCTCAGGGATGCTCCAGCCCATGGCACCTGGCAGGACATGGATGATCTGGATCTGAGCTTGTCTGTGTTACACCCAGAAAGCCCCAATATCTGTAGGGGAAAAAGGAATGTAAACCTAATTCCTTGTTCTTGTTCTTCCCTTCCATGATGAGGGGCCTTGCCAGAGCCTCCTTCCCACTGGTGCTTTTGTGGCGAGACTCAAACCATCAGGGCTTCCTGCTAAGTCAGGTGCTGAGCTCCTCTGTGCCTGGCCTGACTCCACACAGGCATTTCTGCTCCCTCCTGGTGCTCACTGCTCCATCCTTCATCCTCCTGGGCAGAGCTGGAAGGGAGCAGGAGCAGGGACACTGCGCTGAGGTGGGGCAGGACGAGATGGGGGTGTGCAGGGAGCAGAGGGGGCATCTACAACACAGACCCACAAAAGAATCCTGAGGTGCGAGGTGAGGGACTCAAAAGCTGGGAATTGCCTGCAGAGGGATGGCTGGGGAGTCCCAATCTGCACCTTTGTGCCTGAGCATTGTGATGATTTTTATCTCTGCAGCTCTACTGTCCTTTCCAAGGCTGCCAATCCACCCCTTGTGGGGTGCAGGATGGATCATGTTCACCTGCTCAGCCCCCATTAAATATTCTTTTTTTCCCATGTCAGTCTCTTTATTACTCAAATCCTACTCTGGAAAAGAGAATTATTAATGTAGAGCCTTGTGGCCTTTTATGCCATCAATTGCTGCTTCACCAACAGCAAAAACCCCTCTGGCTCTTGGGAAGGAGCTTTTCCTTATTTTCCTGATGGCCCACCTGTCCTCCAAAACATAATGTGAAAATCACTCCGTTAAGCTGAAGAAGATGAGCTTGAGGGGCTCCTTCCCACCCAAACCATTCCATGGTTCCCCTTGCCCTGCAGATTCCAGACTCTGAGGGAAACCTCCACTCCTTTCCTTGAGAAGAGTTCCCTGTGGGTGGGAACACTGAGCCTGCCCTCCTCCTTCACCTTAAAATCATCCCTGAGGTGCAAGGCTGTGGATTGGGGCTGTTGTTACGGTGGGTTCATTTTGCTTTTGAACTTATTTCGTTGATCAAGGAAAGTATTTTATAAAGCAGTGGCACTTTAACATGGGCTCCTTTTCCAAGAGCCTTTCCCACAAGGAAAAAGTGAGGACGTTTGAGGCAGCCTCTCGCTCTCCTGCAGCAGTTGGTGGCTGCTCTGTGGTGTGTGAATGTGCCTTTTGTATTTGAGATTAGTTGGGAAGTTGCTGCATTACCAGTGAAATTCCACTTTCTCCACATCTGCGGGGTTTGTGGTGGGATCCACCCCCCTGCTTTTGCTGTGCAGCCATCCGTCTCCAGCTGGCTTTGGCCATAGAAGATGAGGCAGATCCTGCTCCAGTTCCCACCCTTGTGGGGCTGGATCAGGGGAGAAAGGCAAAGCTTGAGCTGGACTCAGAGAAAAAAACCTAAAGGCTTGAAACAAAAACCCCGTGGGCAAGGTGAGGCAGGTCCCCCTCAGAAAGCAACCGGGGGAATGTGAAGAAAAGAAAAAAGAAAAGATGGGAATAAATAAAAAGCAGGGATGGGGAGGAGGAGGGGGCAAGGCAGATGTCTGCCCGTGCTCAGTGTGTTTGTGCTGCTGGCTGCCTGCCTGCTTGTCTGAAAACCTGGCCCCGTCTGGCACCTCTTCTTTTTTTTATTCTGATGTTTGAATTTATAGCTTGAAGTGCAGCAGAATGAGGTTCTCTGGAATATTGCTGTGGATAGGATTGGCTGCCTGTGAGGCGAGGGTGGATTTGGAGGGGGGACACACTTGGTTTTTTCCCTTGCAAGTTTCATGTGGGCTGCTGTGTTCTCCTTCATCCCTCTGCCTTCCTGCTGCATTTCCGTGTGTGTTTGTTTGCACCACTTCTTTGTGACCCCGGTGGCTCAGGAGCAGCTCCTCCCTGGGTGTACCTGAGTGCATCCTGCTGGGGTTTTGGTGAAGTCTGGGGGTGGAGGGAAGTAGAGCTGCTGTGAAGTGCTGGAGTGCAGAGCAGAGCCCCAATCCATGGAAACCATGGATTCTGCCAGGAGGACAAGGATCAGCCACACTTCCTCCCTGGGAACGTGCCAGGAGACTTGTTCTCACTGAAGATTTCCAGGTCTCCAGGCTTCAAACGTTCACACAGTTTGAATAATGCATAAAGTTCCAGCACTTGCCGGAGTCAAATACTCTTCTCCAGCATCTTTAAAAAATGGATGAATGCATTTTTACTTGAACACCTGCCCCTTTGTGTAACCTGTTTTTCCTTTCTCACCTGTCACACCTACAATCCTTGTGTCCTCCTAAATGCACAACCCCATCAGGCTCAGATCTGTATGAGGATCTCATTCAATCTCAATTCGTTTGGTATTTAGAAGGGCGTCTTTTATTGTTCAGAAAGGTGGGAGCCTCCTGACTGCATCTGCCTGTAATTAATGAATTCAGACACTCTATGGAGGACATTTCTGGGGGGATCCATCTCCCTCTTCCCCTTGTGGAGGGAATCAGAGCAGTGAGGCTCCCCTGTGATGCTGGGCAGGGCCTGGAGGAGACTCCGTGGGGCACGGAGACCTTTCCAGGCAGATCCTGGAGGAGCCTGTCCTGCAGTTTGACCATAAAACAGACACAGTCTGGACTCAAGGTGTCTGTCTGAGGCTGGTGACTTTCCTTGGACCATTGGGAAGGATCTGGAGCTGGAAGAATTAAGATGCACGGGATGGAGTTGAGGCAGCTTTAATTTCCCTGTAAAATGCACCAAGCCCCACCTTTTTCCAGGACAGCTCATTCCCTATTCCAGGGATGCTTTCTGCAGGTCACACCTTTGGTTTGGGCTCTGCTGCCTCTTGAATTAATGACTTTAGGAGTGGGGTGCAGTTTGGTCACCCCACAGGACTGCCGTGACTCAGGGTGTGCTCAGCAGCCCCCAGGTTTAATCAGGCAGTGGGCAATCCCTCCGTTGGGACACCCCAGCCCTTCCCAACACCCCTGACTTCTCCCACTGCCTCTGAGCATCCAGATGGCTCAGGATTAACAAAAATCCTTCAGGAAAGGTTGATGAAGTGACGGCAGAGGGGCAGGAAAATGGTGTTGTGACAGTTCCTGATGCAGAGCTGCCTCAAAGCTTTTGCAGAGGCAAAGCAAAGGGCAGGACCCTGCCCTCTCAGCTCTTCCCGAGGGAGGAGTGGGAGGAGGCTGGACAGCCCTGGAAGAGGGAGCTTGCTCCTGCTGTCCCCGGGAAGGATGAGAGGAGCATGAAGGATTGCTTTTCCCATTCATTTTGGTTGCTGCTGTTGGCCCCACGTCACGAATTCTCCCTTAGGAGTGGCCGGTCTGTGCCTGGGCAGGATCCTTGCCCTCCGTGCCAGCTCTCTGGAGGGGCTAGCAGGCAGTTCCTGCACCAGGAATGCCAATCCAGGGGATTTTTGTGACCTCTCCACCCCTCCTCCGCTCCTGTGACGCTGCCAAACTCCTGTCAAGCCCTGCTAGAGGGGCACCAGCAGCTCCAGTTTGGAGGGATCTGGGGCAGTCACCTCTGTCCCCTGCCCTGCCCAGCCCCCAGGCAGGTGATGGGAAGGTGAGAATACAAACACAATACAAATGCTCGGCTGTGGGAAAGGAGGAAGGGAGTGGGAAGGGAGGCTCAGCCGTGGCACGGCTGGGGATGTATTTGCAAAAGCCTTGCTCTGGCAGGTGCTGGGCTCGGAGCCTGTGCTGGGGGCTCTTCTGGTTCTGTGAGCTCATAATGAATCTTAGCAGGGCATCCGTGCACCAGCTGGAGGGAGGAAGGAAGGACTGAGCATCTTCCCGGCTTTTCCAGCATCAGTTGCTGGGTTTGGATGACTTTTAGTGTAGAAGTGAACATATTGTTGTGTTCCTTAGGGATGGGGCCGTAGAGCTTAGTGGAATTTAGTGGCTTCCCTGCCGAGGTCTGCAGGTCACCTCCCGGTGGGGATGCTCAGGGTGTGGGGGCAGTGGGGCTGCTCCTCAGGATCGCCTTAGGATGCTGCCGGCATTGACCACTCTGCAAATCCCTTCTAATACGAAAAATTTAAAAGGAAACCCATCCTTAGACGCAAGGAGTTGGAAAGCCGAGCAGAAACTGCTAGAAAGGAAGGAACAGCATCATCTGTTTCAGTGGCAGGTCGGGTTTGAGAGCAAAGGCGGTCTCACAGCGCTGCCTGCTGGAAACTGCTCGGGAGGAAAAGCGATTCT